TGTACACAAAGATCCGGGCCTACGGCCCGTCAACGGCCCGTCACCTCGACTTAGCATACATTGTACATTTTTCGCTTACTTTTGTCAAAAATACCCTCTAGCGCCTCAACGGTTTGAGCTAGAGCAAAACGGACAAAATTTTCGCCCAATTGGGCTCTACTTTGATGAGTTACCCCATAGGAATCCATAAAAAAAATATTTTAGAAAAACGTCATTTTTGGGACCTGTTGTTTTTGATTTTTTAAAAATCCAATTTTTGAGCTAGAATGCTCATCTTCGAACTCGATCTGTCTTTTTATGATACAAAACGACCCTGAAAATCCCAGGTCGCTCGCTCAATTCGTTTTCGAGTTTTCGTGCGGACAGATACACCTAGACACACAGACAGACACACAGACAGACAGAAAAAGTTTTTTCCGACCAGACGGAGTAATAGGCTTCGCTAATCGCTCAGCCAATAACGAATGTTACATGATATTTTTAAAAATGTTACACAATTCACATCATATAGGATATGACGTCACATTATTTCAATAACCTGGGAAAAAAGTTGTGACGAGTGTGTTGCTTTTGAACAAATTGTGTTCCTAATTAAATTAGCTATATGTACGCTAGGCCACGTCTCGTCAAGTTTTGTAATATCTCACGACACACTGTGTACACCGTCTGAGTTTAGTTTTGGTTCCTGTCTCAGCTTTAGTTCTTTAACTTGACCAAAAATATTTGCTGCCGAGACGTTCATAACGCGATGACAGGTTTCCCTCGTAGTTGCATTTTACCCAAATTTCTCAACACATCGTGGATCATCTTTTTTAGCCCGCCCTTCTGCTTTGAAAAAGCTATCCAGCGGGCTTTCAGCAAACGACCTCGTGTCTGTCTGTTCCACTCGAAGGAGATGTGCTAGAGACTTGAAATTTTCAGGGTATCTTGAGGTTCACTCCTAGAGAACGAAACGCCTACGGCAAATCATGGCAACCACCCCTCAGGGTGTGAATGGGGGGTATCCAATGTTAAAAAATTCTCTCAAAAAGTAATTTTGTTTTATGGTCTCCTAAGGGGTAACCCGGTCAAAATAGAGGTCGTTGGAACAAAAATTCGTCCGTTTCGCTCTATATCTAACCGTTTAGGCGCTAGAGGGTCTTTTTTGACGAAAATAAGCTAAAAATTGACATTGTAAACAATAAGCTGTAGAACAAGCAGGCCCGCCCTTCCGCCAAACGAAGTTGCTAGCTCCCCTTCGCTCCGCTACTTTGGGCTCTACTTTGACGAGTTACCCCTTACGAGAACATAAGAAATACTTTTTGGGAGTATTTTTGAACCTTGGATACCCACATTAACACCCTTAGGGGTGGTTGCGAGGATTTGCCGTAGGCGTTCTGTTCTCTAGGAGTGGACCCCCTGACGGAAATTCTGGACAGGCTCGGGACGTCCTCAGCGCGTCCAGGTTGGGTCAAAGTGGACATGATTAGGACGGGCACTAGCGCGTCGCAGCTTTGTCCTGAACCCGTCCAGAACCCGTCGTGTATATCCTGCAGCCGTCCAGAACCTGTCCTGTGTGTCCTGAAGCCGTCTAAAACCCGTCCATTGTGTGCGGACATCGTCCAGGACATGCTACATGTGTCCCAAACCCGTCCAGAGAACCCGTCCGATCGCCATTTCATAACTTTATGAAATTTTAAAAAGCTTCTGGCACACACAGTTCCGTTTAACTAAAGGCTTACTACACCTTAAAAGAACCGCAATGAACTAAATTAAATTGCTTTGGAAAGCGTTTTTTTTATTTAATTGGCATTTAGATTTTAAACTTGAAATACCTGTTTTATGCCAGTTTCAGTCCTGTGTCACCTTAAATTACCCTGAAAATTTCAAGTCTCTAGCACATCTCCTTCTTGTGGAACAGACAGACTGACAGACACGAGGTCGTTTGCATCAGCCCGCTGGATAGCTTTTTCAAAGCAGAAGGGCGGGCTAAAAAGGCCTAAAAACCGCAAACTAGAAACGAAACTCTCCCCCACCCCCAAAAAACGTTTTCTAAGCAGAACGGTGGGTTGTAGTCGCGGTGCTTCACCGTTACATCCCTTTCTCGAGTGTTTGGGCCAAACTCAAAGACGACGGGTTTATGCGGGCCGAAGGCCCGCTACATCATTCGATCATGTTCTTCAGCAAATCGCGGGACAGAAATGTTCGGGCCGCAGGGCCGACCATCGCCGCCGGCAGGCCAAGCAGGCCCGGCTCCTGCCGAACGGAGTTGCCGGCGGAGCGGAGCTGGCAACTTCGTTTGGCGGAAGGGCGGGCCTGCTTGTTTTCTTCAGTGACGACTTGTATGGAGTAAACATTCTGTCGTCGTTGTGTTTATTTGTTCCAATTGCCTTAGGTCTATACCTCAATCAGTAATATCTGATGAAACACCTACAAATATGTTCAAAGCAAGATATCGAGGAGACATGCACGTCGACATGTTCTGTAGAGATTCACTTATTTTCCCAGGTAACGTACACTCCCTTGTCTCCTTTACCAAAACTTTGGAAGTGTTGTTCTTCAATCCCGTTTAGAAATTAGAAGTTGCGGAATATGTCCTTCAGCGGGCCCAGTCCGAAATCTAGCTTCGGACAAGCCCGAACAGACTTTCCGGTCCGGAACATACCTGATGCTCTGCGCTGGTGCGACATCGGACTCGTTTAGGGCTCGCACTAAAGGGACTTCAGATTCAACAAGGGTTATAAACTGGGAAGAGGCAGAGAGTTACCTGGGAAATCGGGTGAATCCTAACAGGAAAGGTTGACGTGCATGTATGATCGATATCTCGCTTTGAAAATATGTGTAGGTGTTTCTTTAGGAATTACAGATAGCGTTATAGAACTTAGGCAAATAAGCACAACAACGACCGGATGTTTTGTTTACTCTGTACAACTCGTCATGGGACAAAGAAACGATCCATGCTATACAAACATAAGTATATTGAGAAATTTGAACAAAATTCAACTGGGGTATACCGTATACCTGTCATCGTGTTATGCGCGTCTCGGCAACAAATAAAAATTACGCAAAACTTAAAAAAAATATAGATCCTAACATGCGCCTAATTCGCGACAAATCGTTATCTCGTTGTACACTTATTTTGTAAGTGGGGGACCCCTCGTAGCGACCGGCTTCGGGCTTAAAAGGGCCGAGTGAGCGTGGGCCTTACGGCGCATAGTGGGACGAAATGGGAAAGAGCTGGAATAAAATATCTGATAGTGGAACTTCGGGTGAGCGTAAATCGGGTGCGTGGATTTCAAAAATGACTGTCTTACATGTGTGGCTCTTTGGGAAGGGGGTCATTGAAAATGGCTAAAATTGGCTCAAAAGCTACAACTTTGAGTGCCACATGTTTAGATTTGTTTTTAAAAAATGAGTCACGATCACTATATGCCTCCGGTGTAGATTAAAAAATAGGCCCAAAAATAGTGAAAAACACTTTTTAGGGCAAAAGCCTCAATTATTAAGGGGTGCTTATCCTCTAAACTGCCGTTTTTGGGGCCTTTTGATTATTTTCTGTTCAGGAAACTATGATGTATATCATAAATCGGTTTGCTGTATGAACTTCCCTCTACTA